GCTTTTTTGGATCACAGAGAGAACCAGTGGGACTCTAAGGACTGACGGTAAATTGCAGAGTCGGCCTGACCCAAACAATCTTTCTTTATCTTCATTCGGCTCCCCCGCTTCGGCCTTGGCCTTGGAAGGCCTCGTGGCTGCGCGCTGATGCGACGCGCCTCGTGGCAATGTTCCTCCACATGAAATCGCTGACCATATCGGCGCTGGCCTTCACAGAGCTTAAGAGGAAATCTTCATCTGCCACCTCGCTGACAACAAAGTTAAACTGTAGTCGTGACTTGATAATCCGACCCTTAACAATCCGAAAACCTTGCTATTCGACAGGTTTTTTTTAGGAAATGTATGTTCCTTCTGCGATGAATGAATGAATGTGTGTGAAACACTGACTGCACTGTAAATATGTCACTGTGGCCTCTGCCCCTTCCCCAGGACTACAGATGGAAATTAGCTCGACAGCTATACTCTGGTACAAGCATCTTTGCTCTTGAACATAATGTAATTGTACATTGTCCTGTCAATAAACAATAAAATAAAATAAAATAAATAAAATGGACGGAACCCATAAAAAATAGCCTTATCATACCGACAGCCTTGGATTCCGACTCCAACATGACATTTTATGTAACAAACAAGGATAACGGAGGATCAGATGGCATTAGCTCCAGGCTCTTCAAATTCTGCGCAGATCAGCTGAGCAGGGTTCTGGAGCATGTCTTCAACATGGACCTGAAGCTGGCGAGAGTACCACAGCTGTGGAAGATGTCCTGCATGGTACCGCTGCTGAAGATCTTGCACTCCAAGGACTTCAACCACGACAGATCAGTGGCACTGATAACCTACCTGATGAAGACCCTGGAGAGGTCGGTCCTCTGTCATCTGCAACCCCTGGTGGGCTAACCAATAGACTCGCTGCAGTTCGCCTCCTAGCCCGGCATCGGGGTGGATGATGTAGTGATCTACCTCCTGCACAGATGCCTCTGTTCATCTCCCTGGTGCTGCAACACGCCTTTCAACAGTCTGAAGCCCCGGGGTAAATGAGCCGGCATCAGGAACAGGTTGAGGCTACGAGCACACCGACCACCACTGCCCAGCATCCTGCTCTCCAACGTCCACTCCCTGGACAAGTTGGACAAGCTCAGAGCCAGGATCAGGTACCAGAGGGACACAAGAGACTGCAGCATCATCTGCCTGATGGAGACATGGCTGACCCCCACTGTACCGGACCACGCCGTTCAACCAGCGGAGTTCTTCACAGTTCATTGTATGGACAGAACGGCTGAGGCGGGGAAGTCTAGAGCAGCAACTGGTGCAGAGATGTTGTGTCTTTCTAAGTCCTGCTCGCCCAACCTGGAACTTTTAACCATCAAATGCCGGCCCTTCTACCCCCCCCAGAAATTCACCTCCGTTGTTTTCACTGCCGTCTACATCCACCCGCAGGCAAACACGGACGCTGCGTTAGCCGAGCTACATGAGGCTTTCTCCAGCTACCAGGCTAAGCACCGGGAGGCAGCCCTCATCGTGGCCGGGGATTTTAACAATGCCAACCTGAGGAAGGTGATGCCAGAACTTTGCCAGCACATCGCCTTTCCCACCAGAGGAGACAGAACTCTGGACCACTGTTACTCTCCCTTCAGAGACGGCTATGCAGTGAAGACTCAGCCACCATTCGGCAGGTCAGACCACGCCTCCATTCTCCTTCTGCCCAGGTACAAGCAGCAGCTGAAGCAGACAGCCCCGGTGGAGAGAGAAGTGTCACCCTGGTCTGACACACAGTCACACAGCCCTGGCCCACCTGGACACTAGAAAGGGGAATTATTTGCAAATGCTGTTTGTGGCCTTCAGTTCAGCGCTCAACACCTTAATCCCCTCCAGACTGGTCACTAAGCTGTAGGACCTCGGACTCACCTCCTCCCTGTGGTCTACAGCTTTTTGACCGTGACGGGGACAGGTGATGTCCCCGTCACGCACCCTGACCATCGGCGCCCCCCAGGGCTGTGTGCTGAGCCCTCTGCTGTACTCACTGTACACCAATCACTGCCTGTCCACATCAGACTCTAACACCATCATTAAGTTTGCTGATGACCCAGCAGTGGTGGGTCTGATCTCCAACAGCTACAAGGACTATTTGATGGAGATCACCCACCTGGAGGACTGGTGCAGAGACAACAGCCTCCTCATGAACGTCAGCAAGACTAAAGAGTGGATGGTGGACTACAACAAGAAGCAGCAGAGGGCACACCACCCACTCAGGATCAGACAGAGGTGGAGCGAGTGGAGAACTTCAAGTACCTGGGTGTCAACATCACCAGGACCTGACGTGGTCCTGTCACATCACACCCTGGTGAAGAAGGCTCAACAGCGTCTCTATCTCCTCTATATATATATATATATATATGTAGGATATGGACAGACACAGATGCCCAAAAGGATTCAAGAGGCTTCATTTGAACTTTCCAGCACCCAAGTCACATGCCATAAAAGACAGAACTATCCTGCAGGTCACAGGGTCATGTAAATCAGCTCTGCAGACTCAGAGGAGCCGAAGCCAGAGGAAGCAGAGCTCACTTAGGAATTTCCTTATCATCCCTATCAGAGCTTCAGAGGATCTAACACAAAGAAGCTTTTGGGGGAAGACAAAGAAAAATATTCAACCACGCCGACCCTAACAGACGGCCGGGTGTAATGTAGTGCTCTGGGCTTCACGTATTGCTCTGCTGACCCCTCATTTCCTGTGACAGCAACAACTGAACTTAACAACTGAACTTATGAATGAACAGTGAAGATCCAGGACCAGAGGATGTGCCTCATTATCTTACTTAAGTTTAACTGTTATGAAATGTGGAAGTATAACGTCCGGATAAACACTCCAACACATAAGCATAATGGTATTAAGCCTTCTTTAGTTGATCAGCTTGTTGTATAATCCTATATCCTAAGCATTGTATTATTGCTGTACCCATAACAGATAACAAGCTCATGTAAGACACGCCGTGACAAGCTGGACGTGACACGTGTTCATTTCCAACAAGTTTACTTTTGTCTAACTGCAAGTACATATGGTTCTATAGTAACATTGTTAGTTTCAGAGCAGAACAGAACCCCTGACCATCTCATGACCATTTCATGACCCCCTTTTGCGACACAGAGGTGTCTTATCTAACAGCCCCACCAGGAGGGGGGCCCTCTATGATTGGTCGGTTATTTTACTATTAAAAGCCTCTTCACCTGAAAAGCAGCAGCTTTTCTCTAACTGCAGTAGAGCTGCTCACTTGGTCTTCCATGTTCTCAGCTTTGACTGCTGCACCCTGATCTCCTGCTCTGGAGCTGAAGGCCTCGTCTCTCCATCAGGCATCAGACGTCGCTGCACTCGCATCCCAATCCAAGGACGCGGTAAGTATTGAGCTTTCATCTCTAAACGGGTGTTTTATGATTACAACTGACCTCTCGACCAATATTCCAAATTTAACAGATTATCTGCTGCTTAGGCTGAAAAGACTTTTAAGTCTCCATCACTCTGTTCCACATCAGGTTTTCACATTCATATTCTCAACCAGCATTTCCATCATTGTTTGTATTTTATATTTTATGTTTGTTGTTGTTGTTTGTTTGTTTGTTTAGTTAGTAATAAATGTTGTGTGCGTATACAGTTGTTTCCTGTGTTTTCTATATCTTACATTCAGTCACTTTACGTATCTGATCTTTATCGTTACCTGAGCTCTAAGTTAATTCCCTTAATTTTATAAAACACTCTTGACTGATCACCAGGAGTAAACAGTTTATTAGAATTATTATGCTGACTCTGAGATTATATCGGTGGACGATTGATTTAGAGGTTGGTTTTAATCATTTTAATTCATGCAATCATTTGCTTTGGTGTGAAAATAGGTACATCTTATTTTCCACCCTACATATATATATATATATATATATATATATGTATTTCTTGTCTGATTATTCCTTATTTTTATTCATCCTCTTAATATTGCTTGGGTGTGGAACAGATTTGCAGAGCATTTCACTGCACATTACACTGTGTATAACTGTGTTTGTGACCAATAAAGGCCTTGAATGTTGAATCTTGAATCACATGGACGATGGATGCATCCCAGAAGTTGCTTTGTATGGTGAACTTGCCACAAGGATGCGGCCCGCACACCCTGCGATACAAACATGTCTGCAAACGTGACCTGAAGCCATGCGGCGTCAGCCCAGGTGACCTAGAATCAGCAACATCAGCTCGCACCAACTGGTGTTCCACTGTCGAGGTTGGCATCCTACAAGCCAAAGGGAGGAGAGAGAGCCAGTAGGAAGAAAGAGGACCCGCAGCCAGCAGAGGCCCCAGCCAGCTCCTGTCACCACGACCACCAGCTACATCTGCAGCAAAAGCCAGATGTGTTGCTCCCGCATCGGGCTCGACAGCCACAGCAGGCGCTGCACAGATACAGCGAACCGACCAAGGTACAGATACTGTCTTCTTAGACAGACGGACGCCAACAACTGTCTTATTCTGAATATAGACTCTTCAGACGATTGATCAGTGTTATTGATTAGTGTTACCCTGTTATTGATCAATGTACAGTTTTACCCTTTTATTGATCAGTGCAAATAAAAAAAATAACTGAAAGTCTCTCGTCAATGACTTCCCCATGACATCACCCTCAAAGAGTCACCTGTGATGTGGATGCTGTTCCTGTCAATCACCAATCCCCCGCCTTCAGCATCCTGAAGCCCCGCCTCCAGCTGCTGCTCTGCCTCCTGTGCCTCAACCAGCTGATCGAACCAGAGGTCAAAGGTCACCACCACGCTACCTTGACTGACGATCAATAACTCATTTTAGCTCATCAATAAAGTCTTCAGCACATTTATTAGTGACAGAATCAAGAGATACAGTTTCCAGTCAATCAATCAATCAATCAATCAATCAA